AGTTTGCAACTGGATATATTTTGCCCGTTAAGGGGAAATGTGACATGCCTAGACACATTTCAGGCTTTAAATCATGAAGGAGGGCAGATGCTAGAGGAACCTGGTGGGCAGAGTCCAGGGATGAAAATATACCCTGCAAGTGTGCTGGACAACACACTCAACAAAGAATTACTCAGCCCTAAAATTAATGGTGTTGGGGTCAGGAAGCTCCCTGCTCCAGTTTAACATTTCCTGTGTTCAAATGGAAAGCCCAGACATGAAGAGTTGAGTTTAATTTGTCAAATTAGTCACATAGCACTAGTCCCTGGCAAAGGAAGTTCTAGTTCTTGGAGTGTGGGATTACATCAGGACCCTTAGAATCCTTTGCGCTAGGGGAAATGGTAGGTGAGCACAGCCTCTTGGAATCCATGCACTAGTACCTGGGACTAACTGCCAATCACTCCAGTCATCATTCCGTCCTAGACAAAGCTATACAACTTTATTCCTGGATCTTTCCTTTGGAACTATAATATCTGCTGAGTACAGTGATGAAGGTCTTCTAACACCCTACTAGTCTCAGAATGATCATTTCATAGAAATAATATTATATAATTTGTTTAGAAAATTACATTACTGAATTGTAAGAAAAATATTCTTGTTTTCAAAATAAAGGATACAGTATAGCCTTTTCTTTGACAGACAGCCCAAAAAAGGGCGTGTCAGATTTTAAAGAACACTGAATACCGTTTTGAGTACTGATATAATGTTAACCTAGTTTTGATTAATGTTGTACGAATATAATAAACTGTCAAGCTTAACATTGTTTTCAAACATTGAGGGAAATAAAAATATTTTATCATTTACAGATCTTTTAATCAAACTTGCTAAATTGATTTTGCAAATTATAGCAGAGCTAGCAACAAAAGAAAATCAATGTTTTATCTTCCCCCATGAGAAAAGTAGGATTAAGTTGAAGTAATTTTCAGAGTTGTTGCATTTCATACAAATATAAACTAAAAAATACATCTTCAGAAATTGAAGATTTTTCTACATTAAGAATGTGAAGCATAATCTAAAATTGAGTGCACCATAAAAGAAAAATACAACCAATCCCTACATATTAGCTTTGATTCCGCCTGCCATCAGAAAAGAATTTAGGAAGCCTCTTCACTTTTAACAATTTAATTAAGAGCTTCCAACTACAGGAGTAAACATGAACTATAGCTTTGTTTTTCTTTATTTGAATTCCAAGAGTGCATTTTAAGAGAGTGGCATGCTGTAAGAGAAAGTAAATGATTAGTGAGGTCTGAATTTATTTGCAACTGGCTTGAGCATCCTGACAATAAGCCATGATTCTATTACAATGCTATGAAGGATGAATCCAGCCAGTGTGGGAGAGTGAGAAAGCCTCCATAATTCTGCCACTGTAAGGGAAGATGTATGAAATCTCACTGGATCTTAGATTTAGGAACTCAGATTTTAGAATGTGCCTGTTCCTGCAGCCTACTATGTGAGTGTGAGGTGAGACTGGAGTTTTGTTATTCAGGGCCTCACTTACACATCTAATTAGAAAATATACCCTCTTCTTAAAGCTTAGGACATTAACAGAATTGTAATTAGGAAGCTGGGGTTTCCGGATGCTTTTGCTGATTTGCTTGCAATAGCCCAAGTTAAAGTCAAATTACAGGGGCTGACACTGTGGCATAGCCGGTAAAGCTGCCACCTGCAGTGCCACATCCAATATGGGTGCTGGTTTGAGTCCCGGCTGCTCCACTTCTTATCCAGCTCTCTGCTATGGCCTAGGAAAGCAGTAGAAGATGGCCCAAGTCCTTGGGACCCTGCACCCACGTGGGAGACCCAAAAGAATCTCCTGGCTCCTGGCTTCAGATGGGTGCAGCTCCAGCCTTTGCGGCTAACTAGGGAGTGAACCAGCAGATGGAAGACCTCTCTGTCTCTTCTCTAACTCTTTCAAATAAATAAATAAATAAATCTTTTTTTTTTTAAATCAAATTACACATTATTTGTCTGCTAGCAAAAGAGAATAGGAAATGGATTAGGTTGTCTTTCACCACTTAACATTTCTCTGAGGTAATTGGTTTACCTTAATCAGCCAGGTAGCCTGTGGAGTCTAGTGGAGTATTAGAAATATTTCAGGTGTTTTGTTCATCCCGTCTTTTAACATGCACTCCTGCAAATACCATTTAGTGATAGGAAAAATTTGGGAGGGATAAAGTCAATAATCTATACAGACTGGCTTTAAGCTACCAACTGCCATTAGTCTGTTTTGTTTTTATGACCTTCTCCTGCAAAGTAGTTTATCAGGTCAGGTTCAATGATGATTATATTTTCACCAGGAAACTTAAATAGTAAATAAATAAATTAATAAATACATTGACATATATTCATTCTTCCAATTCTTGAGTTCTCTTCCTCAGAGACCTGACTTCTTTGAAAAGTTACTATTTGCTATAAATTCATGTTAAATTTAGGCTGGGCCTTCTTTTCTATCAAAATGTCATTTTACTTAGAAGGGAAGTTCAGCTACTCAACACCACCTTTTAAATTTTGACCTAACACTGGAACTGACAGATTTAACAAAAAATACAAGATTTAAATCATTTCCCATTGCTTATGTATATGTCCATTGTAAAATTTTTCTTGATCTCATATTCATATGCTATCGCATATCATTCAGACTTCACCAGGCCTCTTTTTATTCCTAATCGCTAAATCTGGCAATTCCACCCAAGACTGGAGTCCTTAAGTCGTGCAGATTAGCAGAGTCCACAGCTCTGGGTCTGAGGCTCTCCTTTGTTCCCTCCTGAACCCATACCCACATTCAGGAGTGGTTGAAGGCTGGTTAAAGACAACGGCTCTTTCTCAGTTATCCACACTGACTCCCTCTTTAACTTCTTGGCACTCTATCCTGTGATGGTGTAGATAGTCATGGGGATAAACTTCAATTTGAAACTCCTGTGGAGAGGGCATCTCAAAATCAGCTCTGCAGGATACTTCTCAAGGGGGCAATGCTAACTCCCTGCTTAAACTCCAAACTTAGAGGATTTCTGGCTGACTTAAAATACTACAATTATTTCCCCACAGGGTTTCTCTAGAACTTACTTTTTTTTGACCCCCTTGCACATCCTTGCATTTTTCTCATCACCTTCATCTTCTAGGTGTGTATTTCTCTGCCTTGTCCACCTGGCCATTTCAGCATTATGGTTTATTGCTCCTGCAGTGGAGAGCTCATTGCAAGTGCACAGCACTCACCTAGAACTTAGCAGCATTCCCCGATGACTGCTTGGATGCATAATGTATATCTGACTTATTATTGATATTTGAGATAAAATTCAAAGCAGGAGAGTGAGGTAATGAAACTTGCCAAGTTTGGGGAAGAGAATTGTCATTACCTAAATCCATTTGACAGAGCATGCTTGTGTTCTGGTTTCCAAAAAATCCTTTCTCTTACCTTCCTGCTGTGAGATCCCCAAACTGCCTCTTGTGTACATTCGAGACTACCAGAGGTAGGCATTAGCCAAAACAACTGTCTAAAACTTAACTGCCACTGGAGGGCGTCATGTTATTTAAACACAAGATGATCTGTGGAAGAGACAACAGAAAGCTACAAGAATTAGGAGAGGGTATACTGGCTAAAATCAAGAAGGACTTGATTGGCAGATAGTCAGGAAGCTTGCTATAGTCTGAATATTCATGATCCCCATCTCCACCCCAAGGGACACAGAAAATTCATATGCTGAAATCTAATCCCCTATTGCAGTGGGAGTAAGAGGTGGGGTTTTAAGAGACAACTGTTTATAAATTACCCAAGCCAAAATATTTATTAAAATAGCTAAGACAGAATAAGAAAAAGTTCAGATGTCATACACACCCTCTTTGGGGAAACGCATATATTAGATTATCATAGCGTAAAAGAGGCAACTCACCCCCTGTATTTTAATTTTACATCCAACAGACAACTTTTATATCACAAATTTGGCTTCCCACTTAAACTTTTTAATATGAGAGCACCCAGAAATTTCTCATAAAAACCTCATAAAGATGATTAAATAAATAATGGCATTATTTTGTAAAATAGAACATTGTACAGCAACAAAATAAATGACTACTGTTTGTAAACGTGTGGATAAGTCTTAAAAATAAATGTAAAAATTAAAATGAGTCATAAAGAAGCAGGTGATAATGAAAACACATAAATTAGGTTTGTATTATCTTAACTTTGGTAGTGGGTATACAAGTGTTAATCTTTCCATTTTAAATGTGAAAAATTTTTCACAAATCAAACCAAGAATCAGCAACACTATTTTTATAAAAAAGGCCTATAAAATATTTGTGTATGTGCATTAGTTCTAGTGGAATTTAACTAGTATGAATTCATCTTTTCAAAGTTCTTGTTTCAGCAAAACTGAGGGCAAGATGCTGAGAACTCGTCTCTACACCAACCTGCTCTTTTCCTGAAGTTCTAGGCATTCACCCCATCTGATCATCCCCAAAGCCAACAGACACATGGGCATGCTCCAGTGGGCTGAGCAGCAATAATGCCTTCTTTTGACAACATGAAGAAAATTTAGCAGCAACAGCCAGAGGATTCAGAATTTTGGAGAACCAATGTACTCTTCAGGAAAGAAGTGTTCACTAACTTTAACTTGTGAATTTGAGTGCCTTTCGGTTTAATCAATCTTAGATATCATCTCTTCCTATTAAAATTAGATTTTTAAAAACATTTTAAAAATATCAAAACCATTTACAATGTGGGTATTTAGCATCCCTGTATCATTTTATAAGATGCCTCTTCCATCTGTTACCTCTCATGGGCATCATCTCCCAGTGGAATGTGTTAGAGGTTTGTTAGTGACTTCATGATTCTATAATAGCAGTAAAACCCTAAGTTGAAGGTTCTTCACACTTATATTCGATAGAAAATTGGCTTCAGACATTCTAGAATTACTGACTTGATTAATATAAATATAATCAACCAAATAGAACTTGATTTATATACTTACCATTGAGAGTGCTCCTATCAATCAAATTAGTATCTACTGGCCAATAACCCCCATCTCCATGACGACCTGTTTAATGGGAAAGCATGTTGGAATATTAGTGGCTATATTCCAGGACAAAACAAATGAAACAATACAGACAAAAATGAGTATTTTAAACTAAACAATAAGTGAACAAGATTCTTTGGACCATCTCCAAGAACGATGAATAATATTAACACCATTATACTACTGAGAAAATGTTACTTTTTGAGGAAGAGAAAAATCCATGATGAAAATAGATTCCCTTAAATGAGTAAAACTCAGCTTCTTTCTGATAAGTCACCTCCTCCTCATTTTCTCAATGTTCTTATTAAAGGATCAAAAGAGGTACAGCAGCAAAATATGCCCAAAATGTGCTTTTCAGAAGACAAAAGAGGTAAATCACAGCTCATGGATGCAGCCTCTGCTGATGTCCATCTGCCATGACTTAGCAGGGAGTCACCACTATTGTCGTTTAAGAGGATAGTGCCTTCTTCACACAGCTGGGCTTTGAATATTCCTTTTTAATATACTAAGCAAGATACCTGGAGAATGAGGTATAAAATTGGCAATAAATAATAGGGGGCAAATCCCAACACGCAAGGTTTAAGTATTTTTAATAGATACACGGTGAGGGGCCGGCAGTATGTCATAGCAGGTGAAGTTGCTGCCTGCATCACACATGGGTGCTGATGCATATCCAGCTGCTCCTTTGCCTATCCAGCTCTCTGCTCATGGGCTGAGGAAAGCACTGGAAGATGGCCCAAGTGCCTGGGCCCCTGTCACCCACATGGGAGACCTGGATGAAGTTCTTGGCTTTGGCTTGGCCCAGCCCTAACTTTTGTGGCTAACTGGGGAGTGAACAACAGGATGGAAGATCTCTCTCTCTCTCATTCAAATAAATAAATATTTCAAAATAAATATTTTTTTTAAAAAATTCAAGGTGAAAGAAAGAAGGCTGTTTTAGATTTACATGATTGGAAAAACTTGTCTCCCTTAGGTGATTAGCAGTTGTGCAAGTAATATTTAAGATGACGGAACCAGGAATTAATCCGAAATAATTATACTATTATCCAAAATTTAATGAATGGTGTTTTACCAGAGGTAACCCTTTTTTCTAGTGAAGCATTTGTAGGACAGTAATTATTTGATTAGATTTTGATTTCTTGAATCTCTAAGTAGATCACTTACAGAGAAACATGAAGGTTAAATCTTTGTGAAAATACCTATCAGAATACAAGCATTCTCCGTTGTCCCTTTTCCTTGCCTAAAGGAATTATTTATGAAATAATTAATATCAGTGGATGATGTAGAGAAAGTCAACTGGAGCAGGCAGGTACAATAACATAGGTTGGTTTCTCACATCTATAGATTTTAGTTTTGTTATCTATGACTGGTAAGTCCTGGTCTTGTGACATTGCTTTACATACCAAACACTTCTCTTACTAAAACTTTTCAAAAATTTCATTTTATTAGCCAAAAGATTATGACGAAACAACATATAATTTTATCCTATTTTTAAAAATTATTTTGATATCAAATCAGAGCTTATGTTGGGATGGATATCAATCTTCCATCATGCAATGCAAGAAATAAATCTGATGTGTTTTCAGTATAAATTGGCACATTTAAATATCTCTGGGCTAATAACTATGAGAAATGAGGAAAGAGGAGTTAGGATGGTGCCTCCGAGTTGTGTGTGTTTTGGAGGTGAAAGGTCACTAAGAGGAGCAATTGAGAGTATCAGAAATTGTGAAATTCTGGTAGTTTGACTAAATTTGGCCTAGTCTAACCCTTTTGCAAATACCCTGCTTATGTAACTCTGACACATTTCTAGTTTCAATGAGCAGAGGATAAGCCTTGCCCATGGGACACTGTGAGATCAATGTTGGAAGAAATGAAGTGAGACAGAAGTTCTGTATGAATATTAAGATGACTTTTCTAGCAACCATAAGCAGCTTGATTGCAAAGCAGTCAGCCAAAAGATATGCTAACAACCCCATCACTTAGGCCAGTAAAAGCAATAAATGATTCCTGTTGGGAGTAATCCTGTATTGGCTGGAAATTAGGTACATAGCCTGTGGAGGATTTTCCTTTCCCTCTAGCATCCTGACAAATGTCTTTTTAATGAAGTTTCCAGCTCTCCCTGCATGTTTGTGGGAGTGTGCAAAAACAAGCCCAAAAGCACATCCATATATTACTTAGACATAAAGCTCTATGGGTGTAGTATCTTTTAGATTTAGCAAGGCTATTGATTATATTGCACGTTTCAGTAGACAGAAGAAAATCAGATGTCATACAGGTCAGAGCTCTATGATGAAGGAACCCTGGAAATGCATCTGAGTAAGTTAGGACAGTTTATCACATGGGCTTTCTAGACATAAAAGCAGTGTATTGACATGGGTTAACTTTATGTTGGTTACAATTACACTAATATTACAAAAGAAAATTAAGTAACTCTTAACAAACGCAACACAAAGTACTTTAACAAAACTAGATATCATCAGCAAGCAAGATTGGATTTATGGTAATGTAGAATTCTTGTACCAGTTCTTCAGGGAAACTAAACCCATTTCTGGGGTATTGATGAGACTGGATGTCTAGATCTAAAGAAACAGGAATCAAATTGTAATTTTGTATGCTGCTAAGCCTCTATTCTTTGAAAAATACTTCTTATATAGGAGACTTCTTATATAGGAAAATAATAAGTCATAAGCATGATAATAATTAAAAGATTCTCCCACTGCTATAGGGCAAGTACCATGAAATTATCAAATGAGACACTGGAGACTGAAGCAGAAGGGTACTGGGTGTTACTGCTTGGACTACTTAAGCATTTTTAAGGACTTATTGCTAGAGAGTAAATATTGTATGTTTTTAGTTAACTTGGATAACTTCATAAGCTTTGATAGAATGACTAATTAGAATTTGGAAGATGGTTGGAAAAAAAATTAGTTAATGCAAAAGAATATAAACTATTGCTTAATCCCAAAGATCTTAATTTCATTAATGGAGCATAACCTTGGTAATAATTCATTCTAATTTATTAAACAGGCCTAGCTCCTCAGGGAAGGGATCATATGAAAATATGTATTAGGTATGGATCCTGCTATGACAGAGTTCAATCACTGTATTCAGATCTTTTATAAGCATACCCATGGAAAATATTAGCTAGCTATGGATGGTTCTTACTCTGACTTTAAAGATTTAAGAACAAACTATCTATTATTATAAATCAATATCAGATTTAAGTTAAAATATTTTTAATTATCTAGTAATAAAAAGAATATATAATATCATGTGTTCTCCAATATAATTATCCTAAAAAAGTCCTGAATCTTTTATATACTGCATTAAATATGTAGAAAATTCCAGGGGGTGGCACTGTGACATAGTGGATAAAGCCGCTGACTGTAGCACTGGCATTCCATGTGGGTGCTGGTTCAAGTCCCGGCTACTCCACTTCCAATCCAGCTTTCTGTTATGGCCTGGGATAGCAGTGGAGGATGTCCCAAGTCCTTGGGCCCCTGTACTCACATGGTATGGAGATTCCTGGCTCCTGGCTTTGGATTGGTGCAGCTCCGACCATTGCGGCCATGTGGGGAGTGAACCAGTGGAATGGAAGACCTCTTTCTGTATCTCTACCTCTGTAACTCTGTCTTTCAAATAAATAAAATAAGTCTTAAAAAAAAGGTAAAACCTATGTGGTCTATTTGAGTAGGCAAAGCTGAAGCCAGGAACCAGGGGATTCATTTGGGTCTCCCATGAAGGTGCAGAAGCCCAAGCACTTGGGCCATCTTTTGGTGCTTTCCCAGGAGGGAGCTGGATCAGAAGTGGAGCAACTTGGACACAAAGCAGTGCCCATATGGGATGCCAGGTAGTGGCTAAAACAACTACACCACAATGCTGGCCCCTAATCTGTTTCTTTATCTCTACCAAAGTGACACCTGTGCTGTATTCTCTGTGTATGACCATGTAAGGTGCTTTGGTGCTTTTGGTGGTATTGATGATAATGATGATGGTGATGATTTTACCAATAGTGAGTAAATCAATAACTGAAAGAAGGAATGCGGGTTGGGGGAATAGAAGTTAGAATACTTCGGGAGTTGACCCTGGTGTGAGAAAGAGGCCCATGAGTGAAATGAAAGATGTTGGCTCCATTCTCAGTGGGACCTGAAACAAAATGGAAGGAAAAGGACATTGCTTGTTTCCTTTGGAAGCACACAGAGTCCTGGACCTGAAGGTGCTTCTTCAGAACAGACAGAGCGCAGGTGGAGACAGAAGGCTAAGGACACTCTTCCCAGTTGACTGATACTGAGTCCTCATTCCTATTCTTGTCCTGGGTCAGCATTCTCTCCCTCTGCCCCACACTTTCACTTCCTTTCCCCAAACAGAAAAGATCAGTATCAGAGACCAAGAGTGAATAAGTTTTAAAGGCTCTGGATCTGGGGAAACATGCAGGTCTTCAGTGTCTAGTGTAGACAGTGGACACTTGGCATGTAGAAAAGTAAGAAAGCCCAAGAACTATCAAAACAGAGGAGAGAAACAGGAAAACCCTCATCACCAATTTCTCCCTCTGCTGTTGTGCTACCCAAGTTGTCCCCTGAATTCAACTTGAATTACTCATTATTTGCTCTCCTTCTTGCTTTCCCATGCCAGGATTTCTCCAACTAGGAGATGACCTAAACTTTCCCCATGAAGTCATTGTATAGTTCAATTTCTATTCTTGTATATAAAATCCACCTCTAGGATTTAAGAAGCCTTTTCTACCACAGCCCACCTTGGTATGTCCATATATAGATAGTACCAGTTTATCTGGCATTTCATAATCTTCATGTCAGGCTGAGTGTACATATCCTGTCCTATCTGTGCTGCAAACTTCTTAACAATGGACCCATGGGAGCTGGCACCATGGCGTGGTTGTGTAGTGCTGCCAAATAAGTCAAATCAGAGATGAAAAAGAAAATTTAACAAAAGATGCCACAGAAATAAAAGAATCATCAGGAATTAATAAAAAGAGATATATGACAACAAACTGGGAAAACTAG